GAAAATAATACAACAACAAATCTTTCTCAATAAGATTGGAATATGTCTTTTTTATCTTTTACTCTCTTTTTTAATGATTTAAAGGGTAATAGTTGAGGTTACTTGAGGCAAAGCAAAGAAGTGGATGATACGAGCTATTTGAAACCAAGTCGAATAGTGGAGTCAGGTACCCCGCTATAACTTGTAAAAACAATGGAACCAAGTCGAATCGTAGAACCAAAGAATAAGCTTCTTTGTTACCCTATCTCGTCTCGTCTTTAATAAGGACATCGTCCCCCTTACTAAGGAGAGTGTCGAGACGCCCTTAATAAGGGCATTGTCTCTCTTACTAAAGAAAGTGTCGAAATGCCCTTAATAAGGGCATCGTCTCCCTTAGTAAGGAGTGTCGAGATGCTCTTAATAAGGACATTGCTTACCTCAAGACACCCTTGGTAAGGACACGTCGTCTCCCTTAGTAAGGAGGGTTGAGATGCCCTTAATTAGATCATTTTTTACCTCGAGACGCCCTTGATAAAGACAACATTGTCTCCCTTTGTAAGGAGTGTTGAGACGCCCTTAATAAGATCATTGTCTACCTCGAAACTCTATGATAAGGACAACGTCTCTCTTATTATATAAACTCGAGATGCCGTTTATAAGGGCATCATCTCCCTTAGTAAGAAATGTCAAAATACCCTTAACCCTTAATAAGGATATTGTCTACCTGGTGACGCCCTTAATAAAGACATCGTCTCGGTACCTACCGATACACTTAATAAGGACATTGTCTCTCGAGAAAAGTATCGAGTAAATACATTGTCTCACTAAGAAAGTCGATACACCCCCGATAGGGACTATCCTTTCCCTTAATAAGGAGTGTCAAAAGTGTCGAAACGCCCACAATAAAATCCACAATGCTTTCGGGCTTGCTCAAGAAAAGAAAATTGCTCAAATTGAGTCAACCAAGCTCAAATGATTATAGGAAGAATCAACCAAACATCCAAACCATACCCTAATTGCATACATATTAAGTTTATTCATCTCTCTATAAATCACTTAAAAGAGTGGACACCATAAAACCATACAAATTACAAACAAAACAACACAAAACAATCCAAACCATAAACAACCATACAAAACATAAAAACCCTAAAACCAAACACAAACTCATTGGACTTCAACCTTAAAACAACACGAAGCCCACTTATTATTGTATTAAACCCAACAAACTTCCATCTTAACTATACCCGCCGCCGGTGCTGTAACGAGTTGCATCGCCGCCGCCGACATTGGGGTTGTGGGCTGTCGTTGTCCTCCCAGTGCCAGTCTGGTGTCCGATCGGATGTGTCCCCACGACACCCTCCGTTACTCGGTCGGTCGGTTGCCCAGTTCCGTGTCCAGGCACGGCTGACATCTGCTGGGTCCCGGTGGTGTAGCCCTGAGCTCCGGTGGTTGAGTACGTTGCCGTCCCATGAGTTGTCGGGTGCATCCCGTGAGTGGCCGTCGCGGTAGTAGCCTGTTTCATGGCGGCGTTGTGTTGACGCGCCTCCTGTTTGTGGAGCTCTGCCTCGTGGATTTTCGCCTGTTTCTTCTCTTCTGCGATCTCTTTGGCTAAAGGGTCACGCGCCGTCACCTTCTCCATCTATATAATCAGTAAAAAAATGCATTATTCAATAAGTTTTATCTATTTAAAAAAAAAAGATTGGAAATACGACTCTTTTGAGGCAGTATGGATATTGTGTACTTTTAGCCCAATAGATATGGTTCATTTTCATGGATATAGTTCATTTGAGCTTATTTGAAGTTTCCCAAAAGACTTCGTACCAACAAAACATTTCTCCCTTATAAATTCAAATACACATAAAACCTCCCACGTAGCCCTCAAACAACCTTCTTTAATCAAGGCTCGACTCGTTTTCTTGGAGCCCTCGAAAAAAATAGACAATTTGTTCGACACGAGTCACTTTTAGCTATACCTTTGAGGCTAGCAATTACTTTATTCAACACTTGAAGATTCTATTGATACGGGTATAAGGCATGAAACATGGATCTAAACATGAATAACGACTCTCCACAATCAAAAATGTTGTCCACGTTGAATATAATCTCTCGTAAAATACCTCTTACCCATAGAGAAAATATTCCTAGTAGATGTAAAGATAAATAGATAAAATTTAGAAGGGAGAAGATCAAAATAAACCTTCTCTTGCACGGTGGCTTTGGTCTTATCCATGCCAGCCTTCGCGGAGGCTGCAACATTGGCGGCCGATTCCTTCATGGATTCCATTGCGTTCTTTCCTGATTGCATTTTTGAAGTTCTTCTCTGAATGTTCAAAGCTGCTCAATCTCGTATCTTATAATGAATTCTTATGTGAAGTATGGAAGTGACACGTGGTATTGGGATTACACGTGGCAGTGGAATGGAGGCTGTTGGGTTACTGTGTGACACGTGGTGCTACGTGTCAGGATTTGAGGGATGTGATGAGGCAGTTTTGGAAGGTTTAAGAAGCGTACCTGTCTTTGCCTACCATTGGATTCTTTTGTTTGTCTCAAACATTTATTAAAGTATTGATGTCGGTGTAGATATGAGTTATCATTTTAGTAAATGTGTGCACAAATTTGCTCCAAACTTGTCTTTCTTAGAGGTTTTGAAATCAGGCCTAATTATAAGCTTTAGAGAGGTAGAAATCTATCCTCGACCAAGATCTTGAGGATGTTTGGAGCAAAGTACGACGATATATCAGACCAAACTTGTCTCTATTTATATCATCTCGAACTCCCTTGTTCACGACATTCGGACCAAAATTGGATCAACTAGTTTTCGTTCAAGGTTTAAAAAGTCCTCAGCATAAAGTTTTTCTCTTGAAGAGTTTGTTACAATGCTTTGACGAAACCTCGAACAATTTGTTCCTTGTTTCAGTTTCAGGAGTATAAGATTTGGAAGAAGAAACTCAGAGTTCATCCTGAGATTTTAACCAAAATTGGACCAAACTCGTCTCAAATCAATGTTTGGAAAGTTCATAACACAATGTTTGTGGGTCCTATATTTCAATGATAATGAAGTAACTTCGGCTCATGCATTGAAATGAAATAACATGCACATTAGTTACCCCTGTACCTACTCAAATATCGACAAAAAGGTCGAGATCTAAATATCGTGAAAATATCGATGTTGAACCCCATTAACATATAAAAATGTCAATGGAAGCATAATTCACCTGCAGGACGAAACTTTTTCAAGTGCTTACAAAACAAACACTTCAACTTATCACCCTTAAACAAGATATCAATGAATAATCTGGCGGTATTCCTAGCAAGCCCACCAACAAGATCATAGCAAGAGCTGTATGCATTAAAATCTTCCCATGATCATGATTCATAACCACAAGTCAATCCAGATAATAGTCGATAAAGTACGAAGTGTTTGCAATACCAAGTTCTCATATGTCTCGGCACATAAAAGTTGAGAAGTTCTAAGACATACTACAGATGCAGCTCATAGTAGACATTTAGAAAGTGGAGCCATTCCATCCGAAGTTCGACCCCTGCAGCAGCCAATAGAAAGAGGCAAATATCAGGACAATTCCCGGGTTTTAGCATAAGACATTAGACGAAGCCACCGTGAAAATAGTGTCTATGAGTGATACAAATGCCTGCTAAAAAACCAATAGGAGTTGGGCTTATTTGTTTCAAATAGAAAAAGATAATAGTTACATGATCTCTAGTTCTGGTGTAAAGCATGTAAACACTGTGCATATTCTTGACTCTGATGGGCCTAAACAAAAATAAGAAATGCAATGAGAAGTGACTACATGCATGCAAATAACCCATCCAATTTTTGGACAGCTTAAAAAGTTGGAATAGCTTGCCTTGGTGTCGTAAAATTTGAGGAAGAATCTCGACTTGGGCACAGATAACTTTGTCTCAAGAATTGCAGAAACTGCAGCACTCAGTTTTTTGTTGACATCAGGATTCAGACCCCCGATGGACACCAACTCGCCATATGCTGCTGGCTGCTCGCTACCACCAAATGACATGGGTACTGATCCCTTCAGCACAACCATCACATACTGCTTCCAGCAAGATGATCAAGTTAACACATAGGTAAGAACTTGACAAAATCCAATCTATTGGCAAATAAGCACACAATTTCCGTAAACATCGGCAATGAATCTCATAACCAGACTCACGCAGAACTTAATAACAGGCTGAATTGGCTAAGAATACAATGTCTGGGATGAATAAAGAGAGGAAAGTACTCTAATGTACTAACTTAAAATTTACCGTCACAGAAAAAGCTGAGACCTTCACTGCAATCAAAGGGGGAAAAAACACTATTTCATTCCTCGATTCAGAGACTAAAAAGAAATGGTGTTTCTTAAGACAAGGAAATCAAACTCCAATGGATTTAAGATAAGGTTGCTTGTTTCTGCAGCCCTCGCTTCCCTCCTTTCTCCTCTCCTTGTTATACAAGGCAAACATCAAAGTCTTTACTTGGCAGGTGCTTCATAGGGTGTTAATACTCTGGATTGGGTTCGAAGACCTACATCCTTTGCCCCAAGACCACAGTGCCATATCCCCTGCAACTAGACATCTAAGGACCTAGGTCATCTGTTGTGGCAATGCTAATTTTATAGTCTAATTTGGAATTGAGGATTTTAGGGATCAGCTTGGCTCATAACGGAGACTATTGTCATATTATGGAGGGAGGTGCTGGTCCATTCACCCTTTAGGAAGGAGGGGAGCACCCTTTGGAGGGCTGCTTTTACGGGGTATCTAGCTACAAAGAAAATAACAGGATCCGACAGAGAGATTCAGGTAGGGGATTTGATCCAAAACTAGGTTTAATGTCTCACTTTGGATGTTTGTATCTAACGATTATTGCAATTGTTCATTCGCTCCTATCTTAGTAGATTATTGCCCTTTCTCAGTTCAGTCTGCGTCCTTTGAAGGCTAATATATATATATATATATATATATATATATATATATATATATATATATATATATATTTATTATTATTTTTTTTTTTGGGTATAATTGGCTTGCTGGTCTTCTTTGTATTCTTCCATTGTTATCTCAATGTGCTTGAACTAGTCAGACCAGGATTTGCGTCAGTAAGGTTTCATTATCAGCGTCATGCAGGAGTTATGCAACTAAAAAGATAAATAACCGATTTGATAAGCTGCATGATTCAATAAGATCAACATTGAACTGCAAAGCTATAGATCACACTATAAGTAATAGCAACATTCTAAGATCCATCATACAAAATATTGCGAAACACTAAAAGCACCATCTTAAAACCAAAAAAATCAAAATGCCTCATTCCATTCCATGACCAATCTAAAATGCCAGTGAAATCAACAAGTTGATAAAAACTTCATCGATCGGCATCAAACAGAAAAGTAAAGGCTAAGCCAATAAGTAAATAAATCAATCAGCCTTACTCAGTACACATGCATTCAGCACAGAGAAATGAACAATCTGAAATCAGAGAAATTAAGCAACAATAAAGAAATCAAGGAAAAGAACCGATCGCAAAGCTAACGACAACACGATAACAACAAAGACATTATCTGAAGAGATATGAGAATTAGAACCCTACGGCCTCTGGCTTGCCGATGATCTTGGCAACGGTGGATGAAGCCTCAGAGAGAACAGAGGAGGTATCGATACCTTCCAGGTTGACATTCGTAGAAACGTTGAGGCAAGGCATCTTCTTCTTCTTCTTCTTCTTCTTCTTCTTCTTCTTCTTCTTCTGATCCAAGATTCTTATCTGCAGAATCATTTGCCCTCATTTTCCATCTTTTATCTCTGCTACTCGAAGACTCTTTGGGCCTCCATTCATCATTGGGCCCAAACGTGAAGCTTTCTGTTATGGGCCATAATTTCGTACAATCAATTGGGCCACGTTCATTTCTATATGGGCCTAACCCGGAAAATTTCAAGATGTACCATATTCGATCCACATCCTAAAAATTTTTAATTAAAAGATTTTCATCATCGTACCCAAATTTTTAAAAATTAAAAAGTTGTGTTAGTGACTCAATAATCTGACTAATTTGGGCGACCTAACCCAATTATAAAGGTTAAATTGGGTTAAGTCAAATCGATCTTCACAAATTTTTTTCCCTACTGCACACTTTTATTCAAAAACCTTCGTCCAAGCAATTGGTGCCTTCTTTTAAACCTGAGAGGGGAGAACGAATGGCTCAGAAATCGACTGGTTTCGAGTAGACATTTTTGTCTCCTCCCATGCTAAGTCACAAGTAGCTCCTTGAGAAGCACGGGAAGAGCCCAGTACATTATAATTGTGAAAAGGTTAAGGTTTGATTGAATTTTTGGGAAATCGAAAATTTAGGTGCGTATATGGGTTGCCATTTTTTTATCAGGTCAAACCAATCAACCTAAAAATAGAGTTACAATTCAATATTATGAAGATCAATAACATTTACGGTCAGGACATATTTTTATTCCAAGATAAAGTAAGATACGGTTGAGTTGGGTTGTAATCTTATTTATAGGGATCCAATAAAAAAATGTAATTTTTTATTTTTTAAAATTTAACTCAATTACTAAAATTAGCCTAATTTTTATGATTTAAATGGTAGGTTAAGTAGAATTTAATGTATTAAACTCTTTATAAATTCCATATAAGAAAGATAATAAATGGAATATTAAAGACTTGGTTACAAATAATATATTATAATACATCTTAATTATTTTTTTAATTTCAATAATTTGATAAATGTAACAATTTACCGCTTTATTACACGATAATATAACACAAAAATTATTAAAAAAAATTATTAATTGATTATTATTTTCCATGAGAAAACTTAAAATCAAACTATTATTAAATTAATTAATTAAAAATAAATAAATAAAAAGCTCTTTCTATCTGTCAACATGCAAGTGAGACCATTTAAGAAACAACCAAATTTTTGGAAGGGGTGACATCATCACAACAATATGTATGACATCATTATGTAACTCACTCACATCTTTATTCGTCATGCATCATGCATCATACATCATACATCATTACATTATCATCATACGTTATACATTATAAATACAAAGCATAAATGATACATGTATGGGCTATTAGGCATGTGTCGTTATACATTAAACAAGTTGTCTAACCTATTCGATAGTGAAACCACTTACTTGGTTGATGCGTGTCATTCGTTTAGCGTTTCTATACAATTAGGGTGCCCAAGAATATTGATTTTCTTCAATTAGGTCCTATTTCACGTTTAAAAAAATGGTTAGAATTGAAATCAGGATGAAAATGAGGCAAATAGAAAACGAACGGGCTAGAATCAGACTTACACGTGCTGGGAAGGAGGCTAGTCGCAAGTCCCACGTGCGAGTCGTTTATCTGCAGTCGCGGGTCAGACACTCTAGTTTGAGTCAGTTTGATTCTCAGTCAACTAGTTCAATTCACTTAGGTTAGACGGTGGGTTGGTTGAGCCGGCAGGTCGCAGGTAGGTACGTGGGTTTGCGGGTCGGATCAAACCTAGAGGTTGCATGTCACAAATCGAGTGGAGTCGCGATGCTCCACGCAGTGTTTGACGCTTGGCTCCACTAGATGCCTATCGTGTGTCCTCCACCGGGTGGTGCGCACAATACCACTCGTTGGAGCCATTTCTCTCTCCTGAACAAATGAATAACGATTTTCGATCATATTTCTTTCCGTTTTCAATTTTTCATATCTTTAGATTTTAGCTCCGATCAAATCGTTCTCTTCAGCAAAGTTTTAGATCATAGTTCCATCTACATCTTACTATTTTCCTTGAAATTTAAACCCCATGAAAGACCAAGTTATAAGCGCCAACAGAAGATCCGTTAGCATCCTTACCGTTCTTGGAATGACTCTTATATCTCTGTCTTCGGACCAGAATTACTGCTAGGTTTCCTCACGAATCCTATGGAGGATTCCCTCTAGATAAACATATCAAGATTTCAGAAAATCTTGGATACGATAAAAACTAATCAAAACTCGAGTTGTTCAAGTAAAAAATAAAGACAAATTTTTCGGACATGTCTAGAGACAACTAATATTAGGCTAAATTACTTTATTTATTTTCTACAATGTTATTATTACTACAAAAGAAACTTTTAAAAATAATCAAATATATATTTGTAACTTTATTTTCTTTAAATATAATTATCAAAATCTTTTCGACCTACTCTAAATTTTAGATTGGTTTAATCGGTGACCCGAGTAACCCAAAATTCATAATCCAATCCTCTATTTTCGAGTTAGGTTGTTTTTTAATTATCTTTAAAAAATATATTTATCTATAGTATAATTCAAATTTCAAATATTTACCAGTCGCAACCTACTTATGACCTATGACTTAAATTACAAATATTAAATATTATTATTCTAAAGTAAACCCTAATCGAACATAATTTTTTAGTTTTTAAAATTTTAATTCAACCATAAATTAGTCTAATTTTTATGATTTAAATTGGACCGCTACAGAATTTAATGTATTAAACTTTATATAAATTCCATATATTGAAAGATAATAAATAAAATATTAAAGACTTGGTTGCAAATAATATATTATAATACATATTAATTATTATTTTTAAAACTTTACTATAATATTGAATTTAAATTTTTAAAAAACTATACCGAATATTATGTCGTTTAACATTTTTTTAATAGAAAATATATTATAAAATGAAAATTATCGATTAAAAAATAAATGAAGAATTTTACGAGAAACAACTCTTCCTCCACTGTGCCTAATTTATACGATAATATAATATAAAGTTATTGATTGATTATTATTTTTCTAAATCAAAAAATGTAAAAGGATTATTTAAATTATTAAATTATCTGTGAACAGACACAGAAAATGAGACCATTTAAGAAACAACGAAATTGGGAAGCGGTAAAGAAGGCAGCCGCCATGGATGGGCCTCCGTCGAGCCGGAGAGTCATAGTTTTGATGAAACGGGGCGGCCGGCCGTCGTGTCGTGGACTTTAAGAAAGAATCTCGCCGGCGGAACCGAAAGCTTTTCATTTAAAATGCTTCCAATGGAGTAGATTAGCTTCTTCTTCACGCCGGAGTTTATTCCTCCCATCGACACTACCTCCGCGAACGCCGCCGGTTCTCCGCTGCCCCCAAACGATATCGCCACCGACCCTTTTAGCAACACCATCACAAACTGCCCAAATAATAATAAATAAATATTCTAATTTCTTTTTCCTGATTTATCTTAAAATATTACAAGATTTACGTTTTCGGGTTTGCCGATAATGGTGGAGACGGCGGTGGTGGCGGCGGCGGCGAAGATGGCTGCGGTGTCGATCCGGCCAAGTTGACATTGGTAGTGATGTAAAGGCAAGGCATGGCGGAGGAAGGTTTAATTTGAAAATGATAATCAATTGAGAAAGTGGGTTTTTTTTTTTTTTTTTTTTTTTTTTTTTTTTTTTTTTTTTTTTTTTGTTTGTTTGTTTGTTTGTTAAATTGTAAATTCACGTTTTCGATGCTACAATTCATTGAAAGGACATTTTGTATATTTTGTTTGGACATATTCGTTCGGAATTTACTTTTGTGCCCATCATCTCATCGGGACATTCTGAACATTCATCGATCTGGATTCTCTCGAGCATTAGACACTTCCGTGTCCATACTAAACCATTTACGATGTATGTTTCAGATAGCAAGTGCATAATCTAACATCCAACTGAGGTGCAATACCGACACACCCGTGATGTCTAGTTCTATCCTTCTAAGATGCTCACTACGTTATGACGCACGTATATGCCACAAGGTAACTCGTTTAAATTGGTTCAACTCAATTATGGTTCATTAAATATTAATTTAATAAAAATACTTCTAAATTTTATAGTTTGTCTAAAAGAAATATTAGTAAACTTTCAAAAATCTTAAAAATACCAACTTTAAAAAAAACAATTCTAAAAAATAATTTTACCATAAAATTTTAAACATAGCCTTAATATCATTTACGAATATTATTGGAATATTATTGAAAATTTTAAAAATATAAAAGACATTTATGAATTTAATAAATCCATTCCCATCTAACTTTAATTTTTTTTTTTTTTTTTTGGAACGTTTGGTTAATTTATTTAAATTTAGTTTTTAATATAAGTAAAATATTAGTTACCTAATTTAAAAATATATATTAAAAAATGTAGTTAAAAATTATTTTTAGAAGGGTGGTAAAATAAATAATAATTATTAAATTTAACCTAATAAAATAAATATATGTATATATAATTGTAACATAATAATAATAATAATAATAATAAAATAATTTTTTTATTTTTTATTTTTCTTTAAAAAGAGAGAAACGGATGGGGATGAAGAACGGGGATCACAGCTAACAGTGTTGGATTTACCAAGTTAGAGATTTTTGTACGATATTTGTAAACTTTCACAAATAAAGTTAGCGTAATAAATGATTTTGAATCTATGATGATCACTCTTAGATCTTAAAACGGATCTCTCCAAAATTAGCTTGTTCGAGACTAATCCAATAAATCAATTAAACTTCAAACTTAAAGCAAAACTTGAAAAGAATAACAACCCGAGAGGGATTTCAAGAAAT